ATTGATATACATTCACGAATAAGAAACTGGAAAAAATTTACATAACATATATATAAGAAAAATTCAAACCTCAGTCAGTTGGAAAATAAATGTATGTATGAATGAAAATATACACACTGTATTTGCTCTAGTAGTGCATACATTTGTTTAAATTACGAAGGTGTTTGTCTGGTAAAAATATGTAATATTTTAAAGATTCCAGATACATAAAATGTGCATTTTGGTTTATTCATGTTTCCAATAGAACAATAATTGTAGAATAAGGTATATAATAATAGAATTAAGGGAGAATTCAAACTTGAGGCATTTTTTTAAAAAAAATGAAGTAAATGTATGAATGCAAATATATACAAATATATACATATACATGTACATATAAAAGTAAAATTAAAACCAGTCGTCAATTTTGAAAAATATTATTGTTTACATTTGTATTTTTAGTATAATCACTGTAATCCAGCAAGGTCATTGTAGAGATGCATCTACTATCAACATTTCTGGTTGACTGATCTTAATAAATATGAAAACAACAAAACTAACAACCTTTAGACATTTCTAATAGCCTTATTGTACAAACATGTACATCACTGACGACTCGCAGCTGTACTAAATGTGCTCACTTGCCATTTCAATTCTGACTGGCTTTCACCAAAATCACACTTCAAATCAATCAAAATTTGGGGCTTAGTTATTAATATGATATCATATTCAATAAAACTGTTTGAATTCACAGACATTCTGTCTTATGGAAATTGTTGCTTTGTAAAGAAAATTAGGAGAATTATCATGGTACAACAGTGTTCTCACCAAGAACTAAATATTGGAGCAGGACTGTTGCATCAATTTAGAAAGTACAAGACAATTCATGTGGAACTTGAGATGAAGACATGAAGTACAAGTTCTCCTTATAGTGGAGACAGTGTCCTCAAATACATGCATCAATTGTCTGTTGTAAAATGACTCAATATCAAATGTTTAATATAAAAACTGTTTAAATTCTGCATAAATTTTCATTGTGTTTTCTAACATTTTTGTAGGACAATTTTCTTCATGAAGGTACGAAACCAGAGACAAATTTATATGTCAATAACACAGTCCTTGTATCACTTGAGACTATACACAACACTATCCAATGAACTGTAATCCACTTTAATTTTGTCAGACTAATTTTCACGAATTAAAATTTTATGGCAGTGAACATTTCTCAGGGGTCCTACAAATGGAGTTTCAGGGACTTTTGAAAAATGTTTTCAACACAACTTGAAATCTTGAAAATTTCAAGCAGTGAAAATTGAATGATTTACAGTTTTAACAAAATAAAGGCCACCCACCGTCAAATCATCTTTTCTCACAAAAATACATAGATCAGTATTACAATATGATGGCTGGATAATTTTACACTGAATGGGAAAAATTTAATCAGAGATTATTTTTAATCCTAGCGGAGATTCAGACAAATAATTTCTTATATTGGTATCGCAATTGTGCACAACTAAACAGACTGACCGTACTGAACATATATTCCTAATGGACACAGTACATGTATCTACCGTACATGCTCAACAAGAAATACACCTCCAATAGAAGCACATGTAAGCCAATAGTTGCTGTTACTGTATAATAATTAATATGACATACCGATGTCATCTACTAATTCACATAAGCAAATGTGCTGCTATATGTAATAGAGCCAATATGGTACATCAACATGTTGTAATGATCTACAAAACAACATGTAACTTGACATAGAGGGTCAATAGAATTGTTAGCATGTAAACAAAATCTAACCACGTGCAGTATTCCCACAAAGCTTTATTATTTTTAAGCAGGTTTATCAGTGACATCAAGCTGCCAAGTGGAAATGCATCATATGAGCATATTTATCTTAAGTTTCATACATTTTGTTGACAAATTAACATTATTTTGTTGACAAATTAACATTATTTTGTTGACAAATTAACATTATTTTGTTGACAAATTAACATTATTTTGTTGACAAATTAACATTATTTTGTTGACAAATTAACATTATTTTGTTGACAAATTAACATTATTTTGTTGACAAATTAACATTATTTTGTTGACAAATTAACATTATTTTGTTGACAAATTAACATTATTTTGTTGACAAATTAACATTATTTTGTTGACAAATTAACATTATTTTGTTGACAAATTAACATTATTTTGTTGACAAATTAACATTATTTTGTTGACAAATTAACATTATTTTGTTGACAAATTAACATTATTTTGTTGACAAATTAACATTATTTTGTTGACAAATTAACATTATTTTGTTGACAAATTAACATTATTTTGTTGACAAATTAACATTATTTTGTTGACAAATTAACATTATTTTGTTGACAAATTAACATTATTTTGATTTTTTTGAGGCAAACTGTAGCTGCCAATGCAAAATTGCATGACTGCAGTCAAAAAACAAAAAAAAACATAGCACAATTAAAATAAGACAATTACTGATAATAAAACTGATTGACTGAAGTAGTTTTACCCCCAAATATGTAATACACTCTGTACACAAACTTTTTAGTAAAAATATACCACCAAGGGTACTATGAACAAAATGTACCATGACACCTTTAAAATTACAACAACATTTAATAATTAGTTTTGAAAAACTGTCAACTTTTTAGAACACTAAATTACACTACAATTTTGACTGGCCGACTCCTTAAATTAAAACCCAGTGGATAGTCAAATTAAAAATAGAACGTATTATTTGCTTCACTAACCAGTGAATTTAAAATCTAGTGAAAATATGTCATATCATATCGGTTAAAATTTAACTACACAAATATTTCTCTAGAGCAGTTGTCTCCAGTTAATAATTGAATAGAAAGCAATGTAGACATAGTTTTGAAAACACTTTTACATCATATACACATGTACTAGGAATGGCATCAATATGTTATAAATTTAAGATCATCGATCAAAACTGCACCTGCAGAGAAGTGGAATACATGGTTTGTTTACGAGATCAGTGAACTGTAAATACACTTGACCAGTTTCTTACAAGAATTGAATTAAACTTAATCTAATTCAGTTTTGAAGCATTTAGTTTGGGTAATTCGACATGTGGTACATACAAGAAGGATAGCCTTTTTGTGGTTTTCAGGTGCACATGCTTACATGTATGTACGGTAACATTTGCATACGCAACCTCTTATGCTTGTTCAATAAAAAAAGTCTGATCCTGCAATCAACAACTCGTCAAATGGAATAAATATTTTTACTATGATATTAAATGCCATTTGTGAAGACAACATTTCGTGAAAGTCGCTGACATTCTGTCATTCTGACTTAAACTGACTCGCCGTCCCATGCATGTATGATAATGAGGTTATTCATGACTACCCAATGATACTTCATGATCTTCATACATTTTTTGTGTATTTCACTTTAGGAGTCATCAAAATAACGTTCAAAAAATGTGATGTGATATCACCAAGTTTGTCATACAATAATCTCTAGTTACAGCAACTGGTAAGCGTGTGCAAGATTTGTTTTTGATACATAATGTCAGTGACTTGTGTATACCAGTAACTTAAATTTGAACCAAGTACATGCAAGAACAGAATTGTTAGGATTCAAGAGTAGTTCAAGTCAGACCTTAACCTGCATTATCTTAGCGTTACAAGCTACTAAGAGGAGTATTGTAGTGAATATTGTACAACAATCAAGAATGAACAATATGCCAGACATGCATGTTGTGTGCAAGTTTTGATAATGTGCTCTGACAAAAATAACACACAATGTAAAAACCCACAAATGCTCTCGATATTGTGGTTGAATTCATTGTTGTTGTTCAAGCACAATGAATGATAAATATCGCCATGACAACTAAAAAGGGGGACAATCACTGGGTATCCAGTTGTAGGAAACTCTAAGAATCAAGCTGCTTTAATATACATGTTGCATTTTTCCCAGACAGACAAAAAATATCACTTGTGAAATTATACAGTTTTCTTGTCTTAGCTTGCACCAGAGCACATTGTGTTGGCATGACCACATAATGTCAGTTCACATTAATTTAGAGTGATGGGGCATTTGTAACAGTTCAGATAAGAAGCTTCTAAGTTATAGATCACACTTTTTTACATTTTGTGCATGTGTACAGTGACAAGTTGGCGACTAGTCATTCAGCATTGTTTGCTGGTGCTGTTATATTTGTATGTTCCCTTGTTAATAAAACAACATATCGACAATGTTGGTAAAGCAGATCTTAAGCTAGTAATGGTTTATATGGCAATTGGGTAGTATTCTTGGACACAATGTTACGATGTGGAAAAGATTAGAATTAGCGGCCATCTTGGTGGACAAAATAAAACACCTGCGTGTGACTCGTAGAAAACTCAATGACTATGGTACATTTTTGAGGCATAGTGACTAAATGTACATACAGGCAACAGATCTATTGTACATTTAAGGTTCCAATTCAGTTTTATTTTGATATTATTAAAAGGAATCAGATTCTTACTCTGCTTGTTAGAAAGAAAGAAATACAAAATTAGAGCAGATCAAGCTGAAGGTTAAGTATTCATAGCAGGCACTAGGAATGGAAAGGTGTGTGTGCGTAGGGGGGTAATAGATTGCACAGAAGTTGAGTGACATGCAATATGGGTAGCATACGAGTACCATATTTTCACTATTGGAAGTACATCTTCAGTAGTTTTCATAAAAGCGACAGGTTGGAAAATATAAAAATTTACGTATTTGCCATGACTGTCTGCTGACTTTATTACATGCCACACAATATACAAAAAGAAGTGACATTTTTTTGTTATTTAATATTATCCAATCTATGTATAACATGCATAGATTGGATAATATTAAATAACACAACATTTTAACTTGAATATTGCATTTCCTCATACTCTATAAAGGGGAGGTGATCTGATCATAGAGCTTAAAAAAAATTTTTTTTTTAACTCCTTGCCCTGATTTAACATCCAAAAAATATTAAGAATTCTTACCGTGCCATGTCCGTTTTCAATTGATTGGAGAGCTTATGCACCAGTCTGGCCTTTTCCTTCGCCGTTTTCTCAATGAAAGCGTCGCTCATCTGAGCTCCACCCCCAACGTGTTTCGCAGTCATTATTATGGTTTCCTGTCCACCAACTTATAATACATTTAGTATACACCGTAGTAAAATGTGCGTAATGTTATACGCAACATATACCTCACATTTTCAGCTATTGATCCACCTGAAAGAAAAACATTGTAATTGTAATGGGTTATTCACGGGTCATTTTCGACAACGGGCCGTTTTTTAGGACAACTCGATCAGAAGTAGCGAATACAGTGCGTAGCAATACGCTCTAACAATTATGAAAAAAAAAATACCCGGCTTTCGTCTGGAAGAATAAATTTAGATACACATGCCCACGCGCTTGTCCACTGGCACTGTCCATTGATTGGGAAAAAACGCCGTATATGATCGTACAACAAATCCGGTATCTGAACTATCGTGCCAACTCATGCAGTCAGTGGCGGCTTCAAATGATTTTCCTTGTTGTCGCTGTTTTCAGTCATATTTACGTATATTCTGCGATTTTTCCGTGTTGAGAATTAGTATGTATAGTGAATTTGAATAATTCATACCAAAAATACCTCTAGGTTTGTCATGTTTGTCGTGACATTCATGGAAATTCAGGACTCGTTTTCACAGTACGGCACAGCTCCCTCTCGGTGATCGATATTTGCGTGTCGCTAAAACGAGGCCCGAAAACACGTACATTGATGATGTCATGGGTATCACTTTCACTTTTTATACACTTTCCCACAATTTATAAACAATTTTATCTTGATGTAATTACTTAATGGGCAGCGACGTCACCAATGGCAACATCGTCATTGTGAATGTTTTAATATTTAGTGGATTTGTCGTTTAAATTATGCCTTAAACTAGAAGTTGATGTTGATGGGGAGCCTTTCGTGACGTCATCACTTTCGGTGTTGTTTCACGAGCACTTTCTCACTCGCGCCTCCCACGACATGTTGTGTTGTTTGGTGATGTTGTACAGGAAAAATTGTACCGAATTTCTCGCGATCCCGTGTTATTTTTACCTCCTACTAGTCCCTCGTACGCAATAGATGTAGACCTAATCATTTACTTGGAGGGATACGTACCAGATCGCCGGGGGGAGAGTGAAAAACGAAGTTGTGTTATCGTCAATGGGCTACCATGCTGCGGCGTTACTCGCGTAATACTGGCTGAATGAATGCGATGACTAGTCACATATGAGAGACATTTCGCCGTTTTAGTTTTTTTTAACGTACACTTACTATTTGTTAAAATGCACTCTTGTTTTTGATTTATGTTGGATAACGTGGCACTGGAGTTACTCAAAATTCGCGATCACACGAAGTGGTCCGTCGACCGATCGCAAGAAATTATCGAAAGACCAAGATAGCGGGTGTTGTCATTTTCACACAGAACTTCGGAATTAGTAATAAGCACAGTGACAGTGATTTTGTCATATATGTATATATCTCGCAAATAATCAGCAGATGTGGAGAAAGTAACAGTGAAATTACAAGTAAGTTATATCTAAAGTTATTTATAAGAATTCACAATTGTACAGTTGATAAGTGGAAACATTACCAGTCCCTTACCAGTCTAGATACGTAGTAAAACTTGATTGACGCATGGAGGTCTCTTTTTACCTCCATGATTGACGTGACCCACACGATCACGATGTGATCATGTCTCCCTTTGAAGAAAATGCCCCGAGAATGTACATCTACAATTATAATTGTACCAACATTAGATTCCTGAATTTGATTGAGACATGCTAACCGACTGGGCTTTCATTATTACTTTGCTCGACTGGCTGTGAGTGTTGATTGCAACGCCCAAGCCTAGCTGATAACCATTCCATACATTCCACCATGTGACATAGGAAACAGACAAGGTTATGTAATATGTATACTAGACGTGGTATGTGTCAATTTTGATTAAACACCATGTATTTATTTATTTATAATTGTAATATCCTCTATCATAATACATTTTGACATGGATATTAATTAATTATAGATAAGTAAAGTTTATACTAAAAAGATCCAGTATGAACTCTGTTGAACTTGTGATGATATGCAATTCAATTAACACATGTCAGTGAAGCTTATTGTGACCTCTGGTGTCACCGCTGATCTTTAATGCTGGAAAGTAGCACAGGAAAATTGTTACTTCGCTGAGTTTGCACACTCCATCCCTGTTGTTGACATATTTACATTCTTATCAAATCTTTTGTTTATTCTTCACTATTGTCTTCCAGCATCAATCTTTCAGTTTAGTCTACACTATTGTCTTTGGAGATCAATCTTGTTTAGTCAACACTATTGTCTTTGTTTATCTGTATTTTTTTTAGTTAACTCCATTGTTTGGTTTTTCATTGTTTTAATCATAGACCGTTTTAATGAGTATCTATTTTCTAGTGAAATTTAGCTTTCATCATACATGTAACATTACTATACATACTTTCCCATTGTTCAACAGAAAAAGTCTATATGGCTGTTTAATTTAGAATATTATATATCTCTGTGAAGAATGCAAGTCATGTAACATAAACTTCATAATAATTTATAATACTGTACAACTATCCCATTGGGTCATGTTTGATATGAATCCCAGAAATTTTGTTAAACAAGGGAACAGGGACACAGCGCCCTCATGCCATGGCCATGTGCCCCTTTACCCCGGGGAGCAGATGCTCTGGCAACCATAAAATTCTGATTGACCAGGGATCACATATGGCCACAGTCTTCAACTGGGACCTGTCTAATAGTAAGTTAGGCCCCATTCAGGAAGCCATAGAATGCTCCATTTTAACTTAGAATTATCAAAAAACTGTACACCCTGGCAGGGAGAATCCCCCCCCCCCCCACTTGGTGGCGCTCCTTCTTGCATTTTTTTTCTAGAAAAACCCCTGTAATTCCATGCGTAAATGACAGTAGTGCATCTATGGTAAAACTAATGTAACCTATTTTAATTTTCACTGTCGCAAATTTTTACGATATCAGGATTTTATGCCATTCGTGAAGACAACATTTTTTGTCATACAAATTCAGAGAAATTGTCACTGGCTTGAAAATTTGTCTTGTGAAAGAGGTTTAGAGTAATATGATCTATTATTACTGTATACATCTGAAACAGAAAACATTTTAATTTATCTGCTCATAAAACACTGTACTGACATGTTCAAAAGTGTTAGGGACATGTTTTCCTTATTTGGGAAACTTTGTATCATGTTTACGACACATTCAAACACTTTTTTTGGTTTACTTCGTATACAGAAGCGTGTACTGAAAATTAATAGAATCTCCTTAGAGAACATAAATGTTTACACAATGCCATTTGGACAGTTATCTCATTAAATTATTACTACACTAGGGAAAAGAGGTATAATAATAATTGCAAAATATCCACTCAGACAGTACAGTAACGCTACGCGTGTTGGTCAATAGCAGAATTTAGTGATTGAGTCTGATTTATAGTAGAAGCACACCACATAGATGTATTGATGACATTTGCGGTGTTGCCAAAAGAGTTTGCAGTAGTGCTCTTAGAAAACACAGATTTTCCCTCTGTACTATTTGTATTAGAACAGATAGAGTTTTTATCACAGAGATTTTATCGTTTCTCATGTTCCTCAATGTGTTCTTCATTCTACAAAAGATGCAAATCCTTATAAATAACCGCCTTTGAATAATGCATTGTAAATATATTTTAAATTAATTTTTCTCATATTCATTGCTGAATCAGTTTTTCAGATTTGTTAGACCTGTTTTTAATTTCCCCAACGGTGAACCATTTTAGTACGCTAACACTGAAAGTATTATAGTGTTATGATAATTAGTTGACATTCTTTGAGGACAAATTTTCCTTGTAATTTTATTTATGAATTATTCACGACGAATTTATCAAAATGATGATTCAGTTTGAGACGCCTACGTGCATAAGGTGTGATATTTCCTGTCCAGATTTGTGTGTGTGTGTCATACAGATTGTCTGTAAGTCTTTCTATAACTGGCTTTGGCTAGGTTACTATTTTCAAAATAAACAAATTAATGAATAAAGCATTTGCTCTGTTAGTAGTGCATGTGCCAAACTAAGTCATATATCAACAATCAAATTGTACAATAAATGCACATGTACAGTACAAGTTCTTTACCCAGAAGCCTCTTTCTGAGTTTCTCTACTACATGAAACTGTGAGGGCGCTAGACTTTTAAAAAAGGTCTCCTGTAAAACCATTTATTTTCCCTGGCATTTAATTTCACTCCATGTATTTTGATGTTTTGAGCAATTTCACTGTATAGTTGGCATTGAAACAATAAGTTCCATTGTTGTATGTGTGTTTTACCAATGCTGCATGATGTACAGCTGGAGACTTTCTCGCCAACATTTTCAGCACTTTTTTCTTTATATTCTTCTATATATTAGGAAATGAACCCTAATTTTAGAGGCAACAGACAAAATTTGAGTCAATTTTTATTTTTTTCTCAAAAATAAATAATTTGACTATTTTTGTCCTAATCTTCTGAAGGAAAGTGCAGACTGTAAACAGGACTATTTTATGAATTTGTGATGAAACGAGGGAACTGATGGTATAAGCATTAATACACAGATTTTTTGACT